CGGGGTGTTGTTCACTACAATGGAGGGGGTGTGCGGCGAGGTAAATAATCAGCAGTAAAACTTCTCCTGGTACCACTTTATGGAAAAGCAGCGTGAACTTAAGATACATACTCAAGTTAGACCGGTGCTTCTATAGTGCAATTAAAATTAAAAGGCTACTAACAAAATCTCAGTAGATCGCCTATGTAGATACTTTTTATTATTATTGTCTGCCAGCCAGCGCCTCCACCATTGAGCGCTCTCAAAAAGGTCAGCAGTATTCATTCAAATACCCCTGAGGGAAATGCTGTAGAACTGCAAGTTATCTTCCTTATTTGATCATGTTGGCTAATCGGTGCTTAGTATCGATGGGCTGGGTGTGTCTGTGCACCTGTTTTTGAAATCATTTGTTGTTTTCTGACGAACCAAGGCGTTTTCAAAGTAAAATGGGAATCTACCAGTAAGCGTCGACCCCTCCTCCGATGGCTCCAGAGATAGCCTAGCCATAAAAAATTCACAGGGCTTTAAGTTACACTGTAGTCTATTGCTAAGATTAAAAAATGGAGGAAGTTGTTTCCTTGCGTTCGGGGTCGAACTGTGTGTTTCTTTTGTAGCTACATAAGGGCACCCTTTGTTAAAAGGACACCTTCGCGAACACTACTGACAAATTGCACTTGTGGCAAGAGTTTTTTCCCTTCCAACAGATATAGCTCAACCAAGTTTTTTGAATGGCCCACTACTTTAGAAGAAAAAAGCTCGGAACAACAAGCTCAGGGGTCTGCTTATGTAGAATTAGTAGAAATATGTCCAAAATCCTCATTTCCTGCAACATTGTGAAGAAAGCAAAACACCTGAATCTAAAAATGCCTATTTTTATTTCCCGGCTGGCATTGTCGGAAGTGCTGATCTTCGCAACGTAAGCCACTTTTAAACTTGCAAATCTAAAACGTACTCTAAATAGCAGTTTCGGGGAATTCGTATACAGTGTAGTTCTGTATACCGAATTAAAAATGCAATAAAGGTGGGATTCTGAAATAAACTTGAGGCGGATTATGCCGCCTACTAAAGATGCCTACTAAAGCTTAAAAAAACATATTTTGACTGACTGTTAAAAAACACACTCGTTTCCACCGTCAGAGTATCGAGCTAACTCTTCCATGGCCCTTGGGTGAAATCACATCGATATCAGCTTCGTATTGTACCCATGCTCACTGCACGTACCCACGCCCGTCTGGTGGCCGCTGTTTGGCTCCGACGTTTTTCCTACCGACCAATAGTGGGTCCGCGTCTCCTTTGTTCTCGTCGTCACTATC